AGGGTGAGCCAGAAGAAGGTGAAAAAGCAAAATGAGCAGTAAAAGTGTAGAGTTAAAAATAAAAGGTGTAAATCTAACTATTGAAAACTTTATATAACTACTGAAATATTTGACATGCAAGCTAGGCTGGGAATTAAAGATTTCCTTCCCTTTTCCAGCAACATCTAGTAGGAGGCTGATGACAGCTCAGAACTTCAGCAAGAGAGAGTATCAGAAACAGAAATAACCTCTACTCCTGAAGTCTTTAAACATTTGTAATGGAAAATACCTGCTTTATTTGCCTGACTATAATATAATTTTTTCACTTTCACAGTTGATATCTTCCACAGTTACATAATGCTTTGAACAGCTTTTAAGTTTACACTCTGTATTTTTAACTTTACATTCTCACTCTTGAGCAGACACCTTACTTGGGGGATGAACTAAATTGCAGCTCTGCAGCGATGCCAACAAACATCAGCCCAGTGAAGCAGCTCATCTCACAGAGCCATGATTCAGTCACATCCCCAACAGACTCATGGTTAAAGCACCCATCCAAGCAGCTGGAGGTCTAGAACAATTCAAATCTAAATCCCTTTTTCACCATACAAGCACTTACTGTGCCCTATTTGCCAGCTTCTGGACACCCTAACCCTAACCGGGACATAGCCAGTGTCTGTGGGATGTACCTGAGTGAGGCAGGGATGCCGTGGGGCAGTGGCTTTGGCACACAGTCCAGATTTAGTGCTAGCTCCCTAATTTGATTCTGTAACTTGGCATTAAACTATGTTAGCTGCAAAGTGGAGACAATCTTGAAAAAATGCAGGTCTTTCCTACACTGAGTGCTCTGAACACTGGGCTTTCAACACATCCCTGGTTTTTGCATCCTTCTTTTTGTCCCAGAGAATTATTAAAGCCTTCTCTTGTTCCTGCATTTGACATCAGATGAAATTTTTGCAAGGCTCTAATTTTTGAGGGCAAGAGAAGAAGGCTTTGAGCCAAACCCTGGTTCCTGCCATGGTCCAGCCCAGCAAGGGCTGTGGAAAGTGCCCTGAGCAGAGTGACTCTGGCCACATACAGAAACCAGAGAAGGCCATTTACAAACCTAAACACAAAAAAGCACTCACTAAGTGTATTTAAACACCTCTTCCAGCAGCAGCCACTGACTGGGATTGTTACAGCTAAATCCTACATTGGGTACTTCTTCTACCTCTTATAGATGGTAGTGTTTGAAATTAGCTCAGGGTGGGAAGAGCCACTTTCCAGAAGGAGAAATGTCAGGTCAGGCTGCTTCAAGGCATGAGGCCACTTGGACAGTGAGCTATGTCCCCCAGACTCTTCCTTATGGAAAACTGGGTGAAGGAGCAGCTAAGGCTCTCCACCTTAACACCATACTCAAACTGAAGGTACAAAGGTACTGTGATCCTCAATTCCAAGTCTATTAGCTGAGTGCCTTTACATGTGGAAAGATAAAAACTTAAATGTACTAGCATTTTATTTTACTGATGTGAAAAAAAAAAAAAAAAAGAAAAAAAGTGCCTTTTCCTTACATTTAAACTGCAAATTAAAACTCTTTTATCTTTACTTGGAAGGGAATGTTAGTTGAACGACATTTCAGAAAGGGTTTCCAGTTTGTTTTCTTTCAGTTCTGCAGGCTGGATATGATTGGAAATACAGTATTATGTTCTGTTATGACACAACTTGATGATGTCTTGCTTGTAAGTGTTAGCACCAAAAACCAGTTCACTGTAAAAATGCAAACCTGATTCTATTTACTTCATCACTCACAAATAAAGGGAGGAGTTTCATTAGAACTTAACTAAACTTAAGTCTGCTAAAATCTTTTCAAAGTACACAGAAAGTTTAATTCTCTTTCCAAAATGACTAAGAGCTCCTACAGAAGAGCTACCTGAGAAGAACATTACATCCATAGTGGAAAAGAACATCGCTTCTTAAAGAGGTAATTCATCATGCCACCTGCTACCATGTTCCCATTCTTCATAACTTATTTTTATTGACCAAGGACAATGCAGGGAAAGAAAAATGCAGTAGAGATGTATTAAACATTTTAAAAGTCTAAGAAAATAGAAAAAATCTTCCCATTAAACAGTTATTGATAACTTCTCCTCTTGGGGGACAGCATGATGTAGGGAACACCATTACTTTACTTCAGAGATAATGCAGAAGGCAGCCATCTGATGCTGTAAGTCAGACCCTCCTTAAGCACTTGCTGAGGAAATAGATGGGCCTGTTTTCTAGGCAGTGAAATCATAGACTGAACTTCCTTTTCCCTCTGTCTGGGGGACGTTGCCAGCACACCCAAGGGAAGGTCTGGCGCCAGCTCTAAGGGGGCACTTTTGGATGCCTACTTGGGTAATCCTGCCTTGGCTACAGCACCAGTACAAGCGGCATTTGGAGACAGGGCAGCAGAGAAGCCAACAAACAGCAAGGCTTTCTGCATGTTTTATAGAGCTGCCAGGCTTCTCGTAGGATGAACCATGTTCAGGTATTGGTGTGTCTAAGGTCCAAAAATCCAATAGTAAGTGTGAGAAGAGGGAGCTATTTACAAACAGACAGAAGCTCACGATGCCCAGTCTCATGGCTAAGCAGTGGGAATGGCCCAAAGATGCCTGTTGAAGTGTTCAGGTTCCTGTCCAGCACAACTGGAACTAATCTTGCCCTTTCTGCTATGCGTTCCCAGCTGGCCCTTCAGGCCCCTTGGCCAGCTGCCTTCCCACCCTCTGTGCAGAGCATTTGCCACAGCTGAGCCTCTGTCTTGATCCAGGGCCACAAAGTCTCCTACAGCTTCTTGAGCCCAATATTGAATTTCTGAGTCTTACCACAGGCTCCCTTGTAAGTCTACCTCTAAGTATGACCTTTATATCTTGCCATACTGCTGCAAAGAATAATATTGGTTGTAATTTGGCTTTACACTAACTAGATTATCTGACCTTTTAGAAATAGACTTTATATAAGTACAACCAGCAGTTTAAAAAATACCAGCATAGCCTGATGACTCAAGTGGTTGGTTCAAAGGACCCTGGGCAGAGCTAGTCTGTTTGTACCACATGGCAGCTCTGCCATCTTATTATTGCCTTGGGTCTCTCATCCAGGTTTGATTTCCAAGGCTAGATTGAGAAGGTCATTTGTAGCCTCAGTCTTACAGCACTAGATAATATTGACATGGAGTTGACTGATTTAAAATCAAAAATATGATAGTGGTTCTTGTTCCTTGGTGATCTATATATCTATGGAAGATTATGATGGCCTAAGTACAGCTCAGAAAGTACCTTACAGATATGCCATCAGTATTTCCTTGCTTCTTTTATGGTGATTAGAGGGAACATAATTTAATTGATGGTTTACTGGAATAATGTAATCTCAGCAGATACATAGATCGAATAAAACACTTTAGGCTTCTTTTTTTTATTATGTATTTCCTCATCCCTTTGTTATCATTCCAGTGAAGAGTAAATACAATGAGCAAATTTATGCCTAATGCAACTGGGTATAAATCTGAATAAGTGTTTCCAACTCTACCCAAGTATAAAGAACAAAAAGGAAGAAAACAACGAATCAGTATTGCTTCAGTTTTGCCAGTATAGAAGTCTCTCAACTTATACTGCTAAAATTAAACTAGTTGTGAAATAGCATAAAGTAGTTGTGAGAAAGCATGCCTGGAAGGTAAGTATTTGAGCTACACTGCAAACCCCTTTAAATGTTTCATTAACTACAAGAACCTTAATAGGTATTCTAATAGATACATAAAAATATTTTTTCCTCAGAAATAATACATACAAAAATAAGTACTGCTATCAGATAACAAAGATTTGAATATATGTAACTCAGGGTAGTTACATAAAATGCTCTAGCTCCTTGCTTTCTCAAGTTTTAAGAGAATCAATTATTCCAAAAATGTATGTATCTTCTTCCCTGACAAACATGGAGCCAAGAAATCTTTGAAAATAAAGAACCCCCTTGGGAAAGCAAGTTCTCAGAAGTGTTGATCCCTTTACCTAGAGCAGAACAGGTTTCTCTGTCCTTTAACTGCTGGAGAAGGTGCCGTCAGTGCCCTGCCCTACTTCTCCCTGCTGCACGACGAGCGTGCCAGCCTGCCTGCAGCTGGCCACCGGCACACACACGGGCTTCTCCACTCTTGCTACTAAACAACGTTATTGCTTATGCTCCAGTTACTGACAAATAGCTTCTGTAGTAACAGGAATTGCGCATGTAATGGGCTGTGGGTTTTTCTGTCTTAACAACTTGTAAATCTGCCTCCTCCTCCGCCCCCGTCAATAAACTCTGCCCGAGACACAGAGTAGTGACCACAACAAGTGCGCAGGTAGCACACTGAAAGGCTCATGCACTGACACCTCTGTGTTCTTGGGGAGGATTTGCTTCCAGCGAAACGAACTGAAAACCGGCTATGAACGGTGTGCCAGCCTGGTGATGAAGGCGACCCTGAAGGCGTCCATCTCCCCTCTGAAGAAACACCGTGCTGGGGTGAGTAGGTGAAAGAGAATTGTAATGTCATTGATTCCAAACCAGCAGTTGCAGACAGTTTAACCCCAGACAGCCGTGCCAGGAGCAGCAGGTTTTTCGTGCCCGTCCAGCCCGGCACCTGGGCTGCGCCCACGGCGGGTTTTGGGGTGCCCAAGTTCAGGGTTCTGCTGTGCCCGAGGGCTCCCCGCCGCCGGCGGTCCGGCCTGCCCCGTACCCCCGTACCCCCGTACCCCCGTCCCGACGGCTGCGGCGCGCACCGGCGGCGCGGGAGCCGCGGGAGCGGGGCGGGCCGGGGAGCGCGGCCGCCGCCGCAGAGGGGCTCTGCGGGACGGGCGGCAGCTCCCGCCGCCGCCGCGGCTCCCCCGGCCCGGCCCGGCCCGGCCCGGCCCCGCTCCCCGGGGCTCCCCCGGGGCTGCCCCGGGCCCGCGGCGGCGCCTGCGCGCTGCCGCCGCTCGGAGCCGGCCCCGCTGGCGCCGCCCGCGGCTCCCGCGGCTCCTCTGCCTATTTTAGTCACAGCCGCGGCTCCGTGCCCGCCGGCGGCGGCGAGCGGCAGCCCGAGTCCGTCCCGTCCGGGCGGCGCGGCAACTTTCCCGGGGCGCGGGGCAGGTAAGGGGCGCGGGCAGGGCGGGGGCCGAGCCGGACCGAGCCGGGGCGGGCAGAAGCCGCGGCGCTGCCTCCGCCCGCCCCCCGCCGGCGCTGTCCAGCCAGGCAGCGCTCGGAGCGCCGCCCGCCCTGCCCGGGGCAGGGGCAGCGGAGCCGGGGACGCCTCCGGCACCGCCGCGCTCCGGGACGCCCGCGCCGGGGCAGGGGCGGCGGCGGGAGCGGCGGTCCCGGGAGAGCTGCCCGCCCCAAGGGATCGGCAGCGTCCCGAGCAGGGTTACAAGGGGTCACCGTCCCGGGAGGGGAGCCCTCCCTCCCTGCGTGCCCGGCGGGGGTAACCGGAGCTCCCGAGCCAGCCCTGCCTGGAAGTTGGAGAGCTCTGCCGTGTCCCCTCCAGAGAGGAGCGCGACACGGTGCCCAGCGCTGCTCGTCGCCAGGGCTCTGTCTCAAGTGGGACCCTTCCTTGTGTGTCTCAGGTTAGGGTTTGTCCCCTAGGTCAGCGGGGTTTCTGATTCTGCCCGGGTGCTGCCGCTCATTGACAGAAGAGCTGGCTCGGGGAGTTATCTCTGCTGTCACAAAACCACCTCGGGATTCGGGGATTTCTTCCCCCGGCTTGGGGGTTTGCTTCATAGGCTGGCGTTATTTGGTTCTTCTCCCTCTCCATCAACTAATGGTAAGAGCAGATGAACCCTGAAATTGCATTTGCAGTTGCTCCTTTCCGAAGATAGAACAAGCCTCACAAAGCACTTCCCTTCCCCAAACTACAATTTGGTTTTGCCAAACACATTCTTCCAAACTCTAATATTTTATCACATTTTCTTAATTTATTCTATAAATCTTCGTCTTTAGACTGTCAATCACTTTATGAACGAATATTTTATGTAGTAGATCTCTTGTGATACGGAATCATGGACTACCTGATCGTGTTACAGAGATGTCATTCATGAAACCCGGGTTCCAGAGCTAGGGCTTCTTGCTAACTTTGTTGTTTAATGGGAATATGATTGTACACATACAATTAAAATGTCTTCACTGAGCACAGCAAAACAAGGGATGGTTTCCACTTCTGCAGAACTGGTCCTGTGCAGGCTTTCCACAAAGTTCTGTGTGGTTCCAAATAATAAAGTAGCTTAAAATGTCAAGTTTTAAAGAAATGCCTTGCCTGCAAAATAGTAAGTACACTGCAAATCCTCTAGTGAAACAGAAGAAAATGGTAACTGTGGTCAGTTGTGGTTCCTGACACAAACTTTGCCTTTACAGATACCTTAGAGCTTTTATGACAAAAGTTGAGAACAGACAGTATATTAAGGATTCAAAAGAAGTTATTAACTGAAGCTATGTTTGATCTTTTTATTAAGTGTCTGGGTTCTTTAGAGAGCAGATTTTATCCACACTTTTAGTGTGTTCTCCTACTTTGCAAAGAAGAGCTCTGGTCAGTGTTTCCAGATGATGACAGACAACTTGTGTTCATGTGTTTAGACTCATGGCTCATGGCACATCTCTAAGCCAGTTGCAGGTATGGTGAACCAAGCCTCTTTTTTGGGAAATAAAGTTCATGTCAGGTGGTTGGTTTCATGGGAATACATTCCCATTGAAAGGCACTACTTCACCATACAAACTCAATTAAGCAGAATTCTGCAGAGTTCAGCTGTAGTTCATTAACCCACTTTTAAAGCACTTTTGAAACGTGCCTTGTGGCTGCTTTCTCCACTATTAATTTAAAAGTTGAACTGGAGAGAAGTTTGAACTTGTATTTTCTTTCAAGTTTTATTCTAAAACACAAGAAAACAGACCCCTTGAAGTGTTTTTTGGTAATGCCATTCAATATTCAAGAGCCTTGCTCAAATTTATTCAAGTGCTGATCTTAAAAAAAAATCTATCATTCTGTATTCATGTTTTTAGGAGCAAAAGAACTTACGAAATGAGTTATACTTCTTAATTTGGTGAGAATATCACATCTCCTTATGGCTTATTAATTCTGATTCAATTTGAAAGAAATATGTGGGTTTTTTTTATTTCAGCCACTGTCTAGATGATAAAATAGACAGCATCTTCAACACTGGCTTTGTAAACACAGAGGGCTGCATTGTATATTTTACAGTGATAAATGAGGAATTGTTGGAGTACTGGAAGTGTATAGTTAGCTGGTCTTTAAAGAATTAAAGATTAAGTAATACTGGCTTCACTGTATGCAGTGCTCCTAATAAGCCTTAAACTCGGGTATGCACTGCATATAGTGATTAGAAATTTGGTGGGCTCTTTGTGTGGAGTGTTGACTTCAGTGTAGAGGTGGCATTGGGGTGTCTCCAGGGCTGGGCAGCAGCTGGCTGAAGGGCTGCTTGGTTGAACAACCTTAAGCATGGTCGCCTAAATTCTGCCTGACCAGAGCAGGGCTTTGGTCCTGGAAACTCCTGCTTGGCTGGTGGTCGTGTCTCAGAGCTGCCCTGAAAGCAGTGAAGCACCATTGGTGGCTGGACATGCCCCAGCTATCTGTTTTGCAGCTCTGAGCATTCCCAGAAGGATTTCTGTCTGGGGAGGTATCACATCATGTGGATGATCTCGGTGTGGTGGGTCCAGTTTGGGAATTGCAGCCCAAGCAGGTACTGGAGGGACTAGGAAGTGTGGTCTGACTGCTCTTCCTAAGGCCTGAGGCACTTTACCTTCCATGTGACAGCCTGCACTCACAGTGCTGAGCCAGTGGGTGAGGCAGTGATGAGACATGAATGGGACATGGAGTGCCTGCCTCAACCCAAGGGAGTGCTGATCCATCTTCTGTCTTCCCATGACTCACTTTGACTCGTGTGGGTGGGTCACTTGCTCCCTTGTTGCAGCTGTGAGGTTATGTAGAAGGGACACAGAACTGCACTGCAGTCCCTCTTCACTCTCCCACCCAGGGAGTGGGATCCTGAGGCTTGGTTGCTCGGGTTGCAGACGGGCTCCACAGTAAAGCATTCACATTCCTTTCTTTGAATATATTCACAGGAAGGGATGCTGTCTCCACACAGATGAAGATTTCATCTATAATGTATAGAGGAGGAATAATTTCAGAGATATATGTGTCTTCAGTGTTTTCTGTTGTCTAAAGCAGCTCTTAGTTGGTATCTGTGATAGGCTTCTGGATTTCTCTGGGAAGACCAGCTCCAAAACTTTCTAGGTATATACAACTTTTTTATATCAAGTAACTCAAGACGAAAGTCCAGGAGACATTGTTGCAATCATCTAATGTGATTTCCTGTAGCATAAAAAATAGAATTGTAGTAAATAATTTTTTTTAATAATAGTGTACCCAGATTTATTTTAGGGTCCAGACAGCATCTTAACTTCTTTAATTCCTAGCAAAGGAAATCTTTAAAACCATTCTACTAATTAATTACCTTTGCTATGTATGCTTGCGTGTCTTCAAAATATGAATATTTCTAGTTTTATAGCTACTGATTAACTTGATACTGTTGTCTTTTAGATTGGGTAGTCCTTTTCTTCCTCACCTTCCTTCCACATTCCTGCAGGCTGCATTTTGTTGGGGAAACGTTGTGTTTTCCAGTATTGCAATTACAGCTTTCTCTAGGATATAGTCTCAAGAAGTTTAAGGTAATGTTGCTTGTGTTGTTAGTTACTGTCCTTATTGCTGCATGAATGTTCTCAGCCTGAAGTAGGTCCAGGGACAGATGATCACTGAAAATAGCTGGTTTACCTGCCTATACTTGCCTGGAGGCACAGAGCCATAGCTCTCTGTTGGAGCAGAGCTCCCCTGTGCCCTGAATTAGATGTTGCATTGCAATTAAGAGTTTGTTCTCTTGATCCCTGGGGTGTCTAGCCCCTCTGCAGAAGGAAAGTAGCTTGGGGAAAGTATGCAGCATAAACAGGGATTGGGAGCCATAGGTGTCAGTAGGGGCCACAGATTCCAGGGATGTAGGGGCAGTGGAAGGAAGGGGCATCTCAACTGACATATGCCTTTATATTGCATGTGAAACTACTTGATGAAATTAAGTAGCAATTTCTTTTTATAATCTAAATTATGTTACACCAGATGTAATTTGTAAGCCTGGAGGGGATGCTTGGAGCTCATTCCTCTGGAATTAGGGGGTGTCTAGCCAGGAGGACCCCCACCCCGGCCCGGCTGGAGGGACTGCCTTGCCCCTGATGGAGTTGCTGGAGTGTCAAGCCAGGCTATGACTCCTAGCTCATGTGTAAACATACACCCTGTAGTGTGCTAAATCCATCATAATCTCATTTTGTGCTAAGAAGTGCATATGCTGTAAAGAAAAATCTTTCGTTTTGCTTCCAAACCTGTAGCAAACAATTCAACCAGGCTGGTTACAAGATTAGCATGTACAGCACATGTACAATGTGAAAGTGCTTTCAGAGTGCTTGGGATAAGGCAACTAAAGAATGGACTATTCAAACTCTGAATAGCTTTACTTTTGATTTAATTAAAAAAGACCAAAGAGAGAACTGCTGGTGGCCTCAGGGCTTTTGGGGTTTCTTTTTTTGCAGGAATTATTGTGATCCAGACACAATTACTAACACACAGAGCTTCTCAGAGTTGAATTTGAATCATCAATGACAAAAATGGGGTAAAGTGCATGGAGCAAATTAAAAATTTGAGGAGGGGGAAGGTTGTAATGTGCATTTGAACAATGCAAATTCTTTCTGTTTTGACTGGTTCAGTGTACTGTTTATATTAACTTTTAAATTGCCAGCAGGTATTTATTTGGTGGTGTATAAGTGAAATACTCAATTTTCTGCTTTGAAACTCCAGCAAACTCTGTAATATCAACACTTTCTGAGGGTAACTTTGTCCTCTTAGCACTGCTGTTTATTTTAAAGAAGTCCATGCCACTGTATATTGCTCACATCTCTAGCCTGTGCCGATTTTTCACATCACTTCATGTGTCCTGCTGGAGAAGGTGGGATGTGTGGTGGGGCAAGACACTCTGAAGCATGTCAGTAATTCAGGCTGTGCTGGCAGGGCACATCTCCTTCCCGAGCTGGGAGGACTTATCCTGTATGAAGCTGGGGTTTTGGCAGCCTACAGATGTCCATGTGTGTCATTCTGATTACGGCAGTCCCATGGCAGGGAGTGTGCCGTGCATGGGGCTCCTTCTCCATGGGCAGGGGATGGAGTAAAAGTACTCAGTGTTTGCTTGGGAAGGCACGGTTCTTCAGCTTTATCAGCCAAGCCATGGGTTTTAAATGCACTTTCCTGCTTGCTGGATCATCACCATCAAATGAACTTGTAGCAATAGCTGTTCACCACAGCCAGGGCAATCGAAGCAGGACATCAAACAAAGCAGAAGGACAAAGCACCTCAGTGACAGGATGGTGTCCCCTCCAGGTGCTTACAAATGGTAATGCTGTCTGCTGTGGAGGATGACTCAGTTGGTATCACAGCTGTTTGGTTTTTTTGGTTTGGGGGATTTTTCTCCCCCACAACCTCACTTGCAGTAGATGAATGGCTTAATTAGAGTGACTGTTCTGAAACCTTCAAGAGTTAAAAATTTTGGACTTGCAGGAACTATAAAGAAAAATGTGAAAGGCCTAATCTAGCATTAAATATCCCTCAAAATTGGAAATTTTACTACACCTAGGCCTTTTACTATTACTGTCTCTGCTCTATTTACAGCTGCCAATGATTTTTAGCTCACAAACATTAGAATAATTTTTTATTTGAGAAGAGCTGCATCCTCTCTTTCCACCTGCAGTTTGCTGGTAGCAAGCATGACTTCTCTTTACCATAGCCCTGAGAAGTCAGTCCCGTTTAAGAGTGGGTTTTGTCAGTATTTCCAGAGGGTTTGGTTCTGCCTGCACACCTTGTGTAGCTCAGGAGAGTGTTGTGTTAGTAAGACTGTGCTTTGGGCTAGCACTGGCCTTCCTCCTTTGCCCTTCATCCTGCCTGGAAGGAGAGAGGCTCTCTCCACTCTGAGAGATGCCACAGCACAGTAAAAGTTCTCATTGTGTAGAACTAATGGAATAAGTGGGAATTTTCCACACAGTGGTTTTGGAAGACAGGTCCCATTCTGAAAATGAACAAATGCAGAACAGTTTTCTCAGGACTTTGTTTTTGTGTATGATGAGCCTATATCCATGTTCTAGTGGTACTCTGTTCTTTCCAAATTATTTGGCCCATCTTGTCATACTAGATGCTTTACAGAAATTATCTGTAAGCTGTAGTGTGGGCAGACTGAGAAAGCAATAAGTGAATTAAAAATTGTACATACATTCAGTGAAATTACTATTAAGTTGTGTCAAATTATTGTAATGTGTGACATTACATAATGAAAAGATGTTGGTAATGTAAAGCAAATTACTGCACCACCATGGTTTTGTTTCTGGCATGCATACAGTTTCCAGTGTATCTCCTCAGTCATGGTTCCCTTCAAAACACTGATTTTTATTGTTTTCATTTAGAAATTAGGGTCTTCAGTAAAACTGCTTAGAGCAAAATGTTGGCAGGAGAGCAGAAGTATTAACAATAATCCAAAATCACTATTATCAGTGATTCTGTTTTAAACAAACAATCAGTCAAACAAAAAACTTCTGCCACTGATTTCTGACTGTATGATGGAAATACTGACTAGATTCAGAACACAAGGTCTGGAAACTGCATGTCCCAGTTTTATTTTCTTTTGATTCAAAACTCTTACCCCCTGATCACAGAAGCACCACCTAAAATTCCTCATGACCATTACCATACCTAGGTAACTTCTTTGTAACTGATGCAGATTCCATCTCCCAGTCTCCAAGGGACAAATCCTATATCTGAGGGGAATCCTGTACTAGAGGAGAGTATTTGGATAAAGAAACAAACTGCAAGGGTTTTAGTTGTAAACTACCTTATTCTTGTAATGCTGTTCTTACACTGCAGGAGGATTTTGAGCATTGTAATTTGGGAGAGATTCTGTGCTCTTTAGCTGTGGCATTTTTATGGGCCAGTGACTTTCCTATCACCACTCCCAGAGAGGGAGAGTCTCCTCCTAACTTGTTCGTCTGAGCTCTGATGCTCCGTTGTGTGGGATTTTATGTCTTTATTTGGCACCACTGTTATTCAATCATAGAATTAATGTTGGGGTTTGAATAAACTTAGAAGTAATGCTGTGGTGGCTAGGAAATACGATACAAATGTTCTTTATTAATTTCTTAGACCTGTCGCTGTAAAAGAAGCACCACTGAAAGCTGTGATGAATGATGTTGGATGCTTCACTGCAACAGCAGTGCTTTTAAAGTATTGACTTCTGTGGCTCTTGTGAGGGGAAAAAAAACCAAACTACTTTGATATTCTAGAGAATATGATAATTTTTATAATAAGATAGTTCTTAGTTTCCATGCTGTTCTACCAGGAAAAGAACCAGACAGTAAGGCTTTGGAAGGTTTCAATACTGATTACACCACTAATATATTCTGGCTTTGTAATTTCTACTGTGTATAATCTCACATGTATGTATTTTTATTTTAAAAGACAGATGTAGAAAGCTAATTTTGATTCTTTGTTTTTAGATTTATTTTGGAGTTTGTTTCATACTTCTTCGTTCTGTGTTTTCCTTTGAAAACTCTTAGGCCTACATCACCATATGAAAATGAATAGCATGTTTCACATTTTAGAGTGTTGAATGATAAAATTATGTGGTCCATGGCATGAAATTCTATGATGTAGAAGTAATGTTATAAAATTGCTTTGTAAATATTCTTTGAGTCATATTTTTCAGGACTACTTCCTTCATATTCTAATAACATTATCTGTATCAAGATGCTTTTAAGCTTTGTATTCTTCCTTATATGTGACAGGGGAGTTTTTTTGCCTGTTATCCTTAGAGTAGAAAAGCCCATCCCCTGTGACACTTGGGTTTCCCTTGTTGTGGTGTTTGGGGATGGAGTTTTTTTGTCCCCAGGAACAGAGGTCAGAGAGTTGAGAGAATGCTCAACCCATTAATGAGAATGATTTGACCGAAATCCAGAGAGATGGAGGAGGTGAACAAGGAAGAAGAGTTCACCGTCTCTTCTTGTTAAAGAGCTGTGTAAGACATTTAAAAAGCCTCTCAGGGAGCAGGGTCTGGACCAACAAATCCAACTACCTTGTCAGCAGAGAGGCTGTACAAAGGCTTGTTACAGGATGTTGTGAATGCAACACACAGCTTTACATGGATTCAGTGGCAGTTCAGTGGTTGCTACTCAGATCACAGATACAGAAAATATGATTTTTCAGCTGAATGAATATTAAAGTTTGATCCTGGAATCACAGAACTTCAAGGGTAACTGGATTGTAAAGTAGTCTGTGGTTTTAGGCAATAAAACTTTGATAAAATTTAATTGATGAAAATAATTTTATAAGTAATTCATCTCTTCTTCACTTGTCCAGATCAGATGAAACTACAGATTACATGACCAAAGTCAAAACAATGCATGAACTAATGAGAAACAGCGCTGAGAATGTTAGCTGCTTAGATGCTGGAAATCCTAAGTGCAACTTCACTACCAAAAGAGACCCTGATGTTATGTGACCATTGAGCAGAGTTTGCAAGAATGGAAAACCAAAGGAAAGCCAAAACTAGTTGATCTCATAATTAAAAATTTTCAAGATTGTTGAGTCAAAAAATTATTCCAGCCATGGGAGAAAATGCAAGTTTTTGGGAAAGTTTGATATATGCACATCCTACATGTACGTCCTGGAAGCAAGAGGCAGAGGGATCTATCTACCACCTAGCCAGTATTTTCTTTGTTGTGGGCTTCATGGGTGGAAGTGGATTCTTTGGGCTCCTCTACGTCTTCAGCTTGCTTGGACTGGGCTTTCTCTGCTCTTCTGTTTGGGCTTGGCTGGATGTGTGTGCTGCTGACATATTCTCCTGGAATTTTGTACTGTTCGCTATATGCTTCGTCCAGTTCGTTTATGTCACCTACCAAGTCCGGAGTGTTGCCTTTGACAGAGAATTCCAGGAACTCTACAGTGCTCTCTTCCAGCCTCTGGGAATTTCCTTGACTGTGTACAGGAAGATTGTCTTGTGCTGCGATGCAGAAGTGATTACCCTGGAGAAGGAGCATTGTTACGCCATGCAGGGCAAAACACCTATTGACAAACTGTCCTTGCTTGTGTCAGGCAGGTTGGTGTTGTTTTGTTCAGATTTCCTGCAAATATCTTTATTTTCCTCTCCATATTGAAAATGAAAGAAAAAAAGGATAAAGCCTGGTTTGTGTATTGTTTCTTTATTTTCCAGAACAACATATTAAATATTAATGCAAGTAATATAAATATTAATAGGTTAAATACAATTGTCTAGGATAGTACTGGCATAAAACCACTAAGCATCTGTAATAGCATAAAGAAAACATTTGAAGTCATTCTTTTGCAGGCTGCTGTATCATATCTTTTAACAGGTTAGGCAGATAAAGGGAATAAATGTGGATTTTCTGTGTTCAGGTTATGGCTTGCTTTCTGTCTACTGCCTAGCTGATGAGCATAGCATCTGTCCTATTTTTCTTTACTAGTATAATCTGAAATGGGACAAAATGTTAGTTACAAAACTGAGTATACTGAGATAAACTCTGTTTAATAGAGATCTTGACTTTGATATAGATTGTATTTAGTTGCTATCAAGGGGGTGGGAGAAGGGTACTGATAAGGAAGAGAAAAAGACTTAAAAGTGCCCTTTCATTACAAGAGGATGTAGTTGAGCCTTATCAAGACTTGCAGACTTGGGTCTACAGTTACTGTATACTGTGACCCTGTGTTAGACTCTGAGGCAGTAAATCCACCTGCTTGTACTCCCTGCTTCCAGGGGAGCCTTCTGGCAGCCTTGCTGATTCTTTCCTGGAGGGAAACACTAGCTTTTGTACTGTATGCAAAGCAGGATGCAGTCCCAGGCCACCAACCAAGAGTAGGTCGGACACCCAGAGGTGATGGACATGGACTGTCCTTGATGGAACACTTGGTGGGTGCTTTTTGATAGCCTGCTGCATGGATGGATGTAGGCAGCTTGACACTCAGTTGATTTAGGACTACCTGCAATGAACAATATGGACTGTGGGCAATTTTCTGTAGTGACACCCTGGTTCACAGCACTCTTGGGAACTCTCTAGGAGAGGTATCCATCCTTCTACATGTCCAGCCACTTAGAGCTGGGGCTGCTTGTGTGCCTTCAAATTTTTTATGTTATTTAAAAAGTAGCAAGGAAATTAGGTTTTCCTTTGGCATCTTCAGAAGGCCACAGCATTTACATAGAGATCCCATAATGCCAGGCTGTTCTTCTGGCTCCAGACATAGTCCTGTGGCCATGTAATTCCTGTTAAACATGGAGAGAGGTCTACCTGACCCCTGCCATGGGGCACTCCTGCTTCCCACTCCCAGTTTTTGCCACTTTGTTCTCTCTAAAATATGTATTTTCCAAAACCAGAAATAAATCCCATGGTTTTCAGGAGAAGCAGATAAGTGCTGTTATGGGCATTGGTCTTTCACCTCTCCAGTGCATGGTGGCCTTTTAACAGCAAAGACTGTGTATCACTGCACAGACCTACCACAGAGAGAATAATGTGGTTTGAATAAGGCCTGGAAAGATTTCCCTTTCACTTGCATGATTATCTTGTATTCTCCTTTAGCTGGCCTGAGCAAGTTGGGTTCAAAAATATAATTAGAATAATGTTGGCCATTGATTGCTTTTTCATACTTCAAAGTTATATTTAAATTACTCAAGCAGAAATAGCACATTCTTGTAGTAGTCATTGCTGGTAGTGCTAAAAAATTAACCCATCTTATCTTGGTAGGATCAGAGTGACAGTTGATGGGGAGTTTCTGCATTATATTTTTCCTCTTCAGTTTCTGGACTCTCCTGAATGGGATTCACTGAGGCCCACAGAAGAAGGAATTTTTCAGGTAAAAGTTAAAGGGTTTCTTTTTTTTTCTTTAGTGCTACAGGAAACTGTTCAAGTACTGCTTGATCCAGAAAGAAATTTATTCAGTTATGCGTTTTGTTTGTGATACTATGCAAACAAGTGGCATCCCATTAGTTTGGGAAATCCTCTTTATCTGTTGGACTGGTTTTGCTGTTTGTGTCTTGTTACAACAAACAGGGGTTTTCTTAAAGCTAATCTGGGAGGTAGGCTCTGTTTGCATTCTTTGGCTGTGCTGATACTCAGCCCTGAGCAGCCAGGTTTCCTCGGGGTGGGAAGAAGCTGGTGCTGAAGAGGTTTCCCAATGGGAGATGAGCCAGGGAAAGTCGTGCCCGGGACACAGCTTGGCACGGGTTACAGCATGGGACACGGTGTCAGCTGCGGCTGCCCCTGCGCTCTGTCAGCCTCCCGCTGCTGTCACTTGCCTGACACGCTGGCTCCTGTCTGCGTTGGATCTGATGTCTGCTGTCACGAGGACAAATGGCATTTGTTGAGAGCTTTCTTTAGACCTGCCTTTTCAGCTGAGGTTGCCAAGAGTGGAGCAGGGAGTGCAGGGCTGAACCAGGGCATCCGTGTGGCACTGAACAAGGCACGCCATATAGGCACCGGGATATTGTCATTGAGGTAACTAGATGTGATCACTTAAGCCCATATCCAGTCACCTTTCTCATTTGTGTTTTGCATACAGTAACCTCCCAGAGCTCTCTGGCTCGGTAAAAGGCTCTAATTGCAGTAGACAGGTTCTGCTGGGAAAGGGGGATGCCTTCTGAGCAAGGGCGGCAGCAGCAGCAGCACCTTGTCACCCGGCTGTTCAATTCTCTCTTCTTAGGTAACGCTTACGGCAGAGACAGATTGTCGGTACGTGGCCTGGAGGAGAAAGAAGCTGTACCTGCTGTTCGCTAAGCACCGCTTCATCTCCCGCCTGTTCTCCATTCTGATCGGGAGCGACATCGCCGAGAAACTGTACGCCCTGAACGACAGGGTGCACGTGGGGCAGGGCTTTCGGTACGACATCCGCCTGCCCAACTTGTACCACGCGGCGCTGCCGGACGCCCCGCCCGCGCCGCCCCCGCGCCGCCCCCACCGCCTGCAGCGGGGCTCGCCCCGGCGCAAGCCCGCGGCGGCTGCGGACTGCGCCTCCGCCCTCGCACCTTCCTAGCAGGGAAGATGCTGCTGCAGCCGCTCCTCAAAGCGGTGGAGGGAAATGGAAGGCGGCAAAGCGGATGAGCAGAGAGACAAAAGCAGATAAAGCCAAATTTGGCTGACAAGTGCCATTTATGTTAACTGGAGTAGGGTGAATCCTCTATCTCAAGCCAGCAGGTTGGCTTCTGCATTTTGACTGTCTGTGCAATATGTTTACTTTCTGTTGATACTCCTGTTGGTCTTCATCTCTTTCGTTTTGAAGGAGAACAAATCATAACAGTATGAGGTCTTACTGCAATTGTGGTGACCTCTGTGGTGGTGTGTTGTTTTCTTGTTTGGTTGTTTTTTAAAGCAAGCCCATGTTATTTGTAATTATATTTTCTTCAAAAAAAATTTTGTCACAATGAAATATAATCAGAATTGTCAATGAAGACAAGTAAGTTGTCTTCAAATATAGCAATCAGCTTATAATGTTCTTTTTTATGCCATGTGAACATTCTCTCAATTTACATGAATAATGTTGCTGAAAAAAAGGCTAAGGAACAATCACATTGGGTTTGTTTCTTAAATAAATGAAAGATTTTGAAATGCACAGCAGAATTGCTAAAAACCAAACCAAACCAAACCAACAAATTCTGTCCCATGAATAACTGGTTTCTCTCCAACTGTCCTTAAGAGGTGTTACATGAAAACAAACATAAGTGTCATTGCTGGCATTAGAAAAATAAAAGAGCTTTAACTGCTGCAAATACAGTTTAGGGAAATGATTGTGTAGCATTTCTGATAGAATGTGATGCTATAGGACCTGGGCTTCTGCAGTGTAAGTGCCCTTCGTGACATGTACAATAAATAATGCTAATCAATCTACTGCCAAAGCATTGGATTTTGTTGTATAATATTCCTTTTAGCTGTGTTTGTCAGGAAGAGACTAAAACAGCTGCAGCAATAAATACAATTTTTAACTGACACATTATTGTTTAGCTTCCAGAGTCACTTTTCTGTGCCTATGAAATTTTTTATTTAAAAGATATTCTCTCCCTAATTCTGTGGTGTTTTAATGACATAAGGGAACCTCAGATCACACCTCAGTAGGAAGGAGTTGGTTTCAACTCTCGGGGTCACTGTGCCTTTGAAGAGAAGTGGCCAAATGTCTTTGCTAACTCACCTTCCTGCTGCTCTGCCTGATGCCTGCCAGTAGTCAAAAAGTAAGAAGCATTACTATTTTATGAGAATGGATTGCTGCTTGATATGTCTGGAAGTAGATAATATTTTTAATATTTTAAATTTGCTGGCTTGTTTGGTAGGATGACCCCTGTGTGCATCTCTGTGTGTGGGTATACATATAAGTTCAGATCTTGTGAGTTGTTTCTGGAGGACTTAAAATGATGACACGATCTTACACTTGAAGGATAATCATGCAGTATGTATAAGAAAGCTATTAGGAGTGATGTGAAACCTGTTTGAAGGACATTTAGTGTGGAGCAGATAAGATTGTACAAATATTGCTTTTAGCTTTATGTTGCTTCCTCAGAGAGGAAAACCAGCCAAACATAAATACCCCAGCATGCAATGTGATAACCCCCACATCATTCTCATATCCCTTCCAGGCAATGTATTCTCTATGTTTTGCTTAATGCATGAAGTCCCTGAGTCACAGAGCTACTTTGTCTTGGCTGAAAGAGAACTGGAAAAAAATGCAAACAGTTCACTGATGGCTTTTAATGACCTCTTCAGATGATAAGTAAAGCACAAAGTGCCAGAGGCTGGCAGCATGTTGTAAGGATGTACATCTGTGTAACAGTCTACAAACATAAAAATATTTTTAATGCGTAAAAGAGGTCTTATTCTAGACTTAGGTGTCATATAAATAATTTGTTAATGTTCTTCTTGGTTTTCTTGAATATTTGGCCTATTTATTCAAGAAAACTTGTCTTCACTAAATTCTGACCCTACTGAAGTAAATTAGCTTGATCATCTTCACCTTAAAATAAGACCAAGGAGTCTTACTCACCCAATTTCTATATCAAGCTTATGTATTGTATTTAAGCTGTAGCATACTGCTTAGAAAGATACTGGGGAATGATGGGTGCTTAATGACATATTTTGATATTTTTTTCTTTTTTGTGACTGATGTATGCCTTGGTTTCTGTCACACACATCCCAAACACAATCCTCTGTGATGCTTTTCTCTGCTGGAATTGGTTAGTGTCGGAAATCTCTACCAGGACATGTCTGGTTCAGTATCTGAACATACTCTTAGCTAATCTTGTTTAGGTGTTGCTACTGTGCTTTCTGGGCTTCGAGTCATTTTTTTAAAAATTGTTTCTAGTTTTCCAGCATCTGTTTGAGATGTAACTAGCAGAACATCTCAGCTGTAAAATTCAGCTGTAAAATAGATATCTACAATAATATAAGTACACACAAAAGGGCTGGAAGCAAGACAGAAGTTCTCTCTACTTCTGTTTTTATTTTAATCTGGGCAGTACTTCTAAAACATACAGTGAAATATGCTCCAGTATGCGACTCATATACCAGTGTTTTGGGAGGGCTGTATAATCTACCTGAATGAAGATATGTTCAGAATTATGACAGCAAAATTAGACAAGTTTTGTGAGATCATAATCACCCAGGCATTAGAGAGTTGGGGTTCCTCAGCCTGAAGAAGAGAAGGCTCCAGGGGACATTATATTGCAGCCTTTCAGTACTTAAAGGGGCCTGCAAGAAAGATGAGGACAGACTTTTTATAGCAGAGCCTCTTGGGATAGGACAAGGGGTAATGGCTTTAAGTTCAAAGATGTATTTAGATACAAGGAAGAATTTTATTATTGAGTGTGATGAAACACTGAAACAGGCTGCCCAGAGAGATGGTGGATGCCTGGTCCTTGGGAATGTTCAAATTGGATGGACCTCTGGGCAACTTGGTCTATTTGAAGATATGCCCACTAATTCAAGGGGGTTAGGCTAGATGGCGTTTAGAAGTCCCTTCTAACCCAGCCCATTCTATGATTCTATAATTATTTATAGGTTAATAAACATTTGGAGCTAGATGAAGTTTTGACTTGAGTATCAAAACGTTTATGCCTGTATTACAGCTCAGAAATAACTGTTAATGAAGTGGTCAGGTTCCTTCATAATTGGTTTAAACAAGTGAATACTTGAGTCCATGCTGCTATCAATGAGTCCTTTTCTTGATCCTTCAGTGATTCCCCTTTACTCACATTTTACATTTTCACCAGTTCCATAACCTTCTGTGGAGTTATGGCTACATTTCTATGCTGCTATAGGTAAGAGTGGCAGAACCTGTGCACGTGATGATGTGGTCATTCATCAATTGATTTTTCCTAAGTTTTTAGAATTATATGGACATCATGTTGGAATTTCCCTGCAGAAGGGTTCAAATTTGCTGCATAAAGAAAGAAACTTTATAGCCTAGGACAGTCCAAAACAGAGGGAGAGGAGGAGTAGTGGAAGAGACAACAAAATTTCATACAAATTTTATCCAAGAGAGGTTTACTTCAAATTGGACTTCTGGCAGATTGGTTTGTTGGGTGGAGCAATAGGTAGTTAGAGCTTCAAAGCAAGTCTTGCCTACTTAGGAGCATAGGACTGACCTTGAAATTCTTTCATTATGTAGTATTTTTTTAACTACTAATCGAGTAAGTACAGGTAACAGGTTCCATCACGCAAACTACACTCAAAGCTACAGAAACTAGGGAATAACCTGAGAGGATACTTCCCAATGTACTGTTGTAGCTAATACACTATGCAAGGCAAATTTTAAGTGTTTAAAGAAACAGGTTATTTTATTCAGTTGCCAGTGATAACAGAGGCTAGGCTTTGTGGCTGAGGAGAGACCATCCAGGATCTATGTTTTCAGGAGCTATTTTCCTTGCAACAAAGCAAATTATACATGTAGAGATATGACCTTCCCTAGGATTAAACTGGGGAAGCTTAATACATGCTTGGATGATACTGCACAGATTTGCCATACCATGAAAAAAGACATATGCTTGTAGTAATTAAATAATATGTTGATGCTACATTTTCAGGGAAAAAGAGTGCTCTACAGATTTTGCTTATTGTGAGTGNTCCCTCTCTTGGACTCCCTTCCTCTCTGGGGCTTCCCCTCTCCTAAACCCTCCGTTTCTCTCTCCCCTCCCCCGTCCTCCTAAGCCCAGCCACGTGCTACGCCTGAGAGCACGAGGCTCGGGCATCCCTGAATTCTCCAATAAACCTCTTCCCCCCAAGAGCAAGCTTCAGAGATCTCTGCCTCCCTACACCCCCAACCGTGCAAGAGGAGCCTACTCTTCCCACAGTCAGGTTCCTTCATAATTGGTTTAAACAAGTGAATACTTGAGTCCATGCTGCTATCAATGAGTCCTTTTCTTGATCCTTCAGTGATTCCCCTTTACTCACATTTTACATTTTCACCAGTTCCATAACCTTCTGTGGAGTTATGGCTACATTTTTATGCTGCTATAGGTAAGAGTGGCAGAACCTGTGCACGTGATGATGTGGTCATTCATCAATTGATTTTTCCTAAGTTTTTAGAATTATATGGACATCATGTTGGAATTTCCCTGCAGAAGGGTTCAAATTTGCTGCATAAAGAAAGAAACTTTATAGCCTAGGACAGTCCAAAACAGAGGGAGAGGAGGAGTAGTGGAAGAGACAACAAAATTTCATACAAATTTTATCCAAGAGAGGTTTACTTCAAATTGGACTTCTGGCAGATTGGTTTGTTGGGTGGAGCAATAGGTAGTTAGAGCTTCAAAGCAAGTCTTGCCTACTTAGGAGCATAGGACTGACCTTGAAATTCTTTCATTATGTAGTATTTTTTTAACTACTAATCGAGTAAGTACAGGTAACAGGTTCCATCATGCAAACTACACTCAAAGCTACAGAAACTAGGGAATAACCTGAGAGGATACTTCCCAATGTACTGTTGTAGCTAATACACTATGCAAGGCAAATTTTAAGTGTTTAAAGAAACAGGTTATTTTATTCAGTTGCCAGTGATAACAGAGGCTAGGCTTTGTGGCTGAGGAGAGACCATCCAGGATCTATGTTTTCAGGAGCTATTTTCCTTGCAACAAAGCAAATTATACATGTAGAGTTATGACCTTCCCTAGGATTAAACTGGGGAAGCTTAATACATGCTTGGATGATACTGCACAGATTTGCCATACCATGAAAAAAGACATATGCTTGTAGTAATTAAATAATATGTTGATGCTACATTTTCAGGGAAAAAGAGTGCTCTACAGATTTTGCTTATTGTGAGTGATAAATATAAGATATATTTGGTCTTAATGTACATGAAGTATTAAAACACAATATTGTGTTGCTCATATGAGTTGATATTGCAAACCATGTTTTAAAAGTGAAACAAATCTGCAGTTCTTTATAAAGAAAAAAACTATTTAAATAGGAAAGGAAAAGATTAATATCTATTTGTTGAATTCATATATGATCAGAATAATATTTTTCTTTCTACTCCTGTAATAACTGAATGCATATTTTTCCTCCCTAGCTGTTACTGCATAACAGATTTTTCACTATACAACAAAATAAATACCATATTAAACTGATTTGTTAAACCCTCTTGAAAATGCTTACCTTATTTACATTAATATGCATTAAAATATAATGGGTTCAGGGCTTGTAAGGAAAAACACCCTTTCTTTCTGTTTGTCTAATTCAGATTAGCTTTCCTTTCTTTTACATTTTTTAATCCCATCAGTTTCTACTTGCTGTAATTCTGCTTCTGTGGGAATCAAAAGATGTATTGAACTTGACATGTAAATCAAGCCACCTCATGCTGATGAATCAAACCATGTAGGTGGAGCTTCATCAGCAAGAGTGTGTAGGAGAAAGGCAGCACAAGCATGTCATCACAGCTCTAGATTTGGGCTCGTGTCCCAAACCATGGCTAGCAATGCCCTCCTAGAGGGTCACTTGGCAGAGG